ATAAAATAAAAAATATAATAGAACATTCACATATTTGTAATAATGGATGACTCTAATCCTAATATTTAAAATTTTGTCTTTTTTCTAATTTCTCTAGAAAAAACTTGTTCCCAAAAATTAAAAAAGTCGCTTTTCGTAAGTAATTCGATATGCTCTATCTAACGACATTAAATAAATTGAAAATACTAATATTTAACGCCGTTCTCATTGTTAAAATCTTTATGGGTATTTTTGTTTCTATATGTTGCAAAGAATTGTGTGTGAGTTAAATGAAAAACTCGTCTCCGGGGGAGGTACTAAACTAATTCATCAATCATATTTTTTTTGTTTTATTTAAAACAAATATAAACATATAGTGAAGCTTTCGACCTCTTTCAATAGGTCATTATCAATACTAAAGTAATATGAAAGAAATTTACAGATGCTATATTGACAATTTTCTTTTTCTTTTTTTTGTTCTGTTCTGAACATTGCAGTGCGACAATAGCTTTTCTCCTCTTCGTAGTGTAATGTTTAGGACGAAGCAAAAAATTCTTAATATAGTATTTGTAAATTTTTTTCATACCACTGTAGTGTTGAAAATGACCTATTGAAAGAGGTCAAAAGCTTCACTATATATATATATATATTTGCTTTTAAATAAAAAAATATGATTGATGCATGGGTATATCTCGCAATTGGTTTGTTCACTTATATTTCATCAAACAACATTAATATATCGGAAGATACTAGTGAAAAATCTTTATTCTTTTCGATTATTTTGGCATTAATTTTTGAATAGTATGATTTGTTATCATTATTTATTTATTTTTTCTCTGACTTATATAAAATAAATGGATTTTTTTTTTCTTTCTCTGATAGAAGATTATGATGAATAATTTTAGCAATAATGTCTTTATAGACAATACAAGTATCAATATGTCAATATTAACAATAGAAAAATTTAGTTTATTTACTCTTAATTTATCTATACTTTTATTTATTGTTCTTTTAATTGGTTTAATTGGAAATTTACTTGTTATTTATGTTGTATTAAATTATGGTTTATTAAAAACAGTTACAAATAAATATTTATTACATTTAGCATTATCAGATGTTATTTTTTTAAGTGGTGTACCATTTTTTATTTCTTCAATAATGACACGTTCATGGTTATTTGGAGGTTTTACATGTAAAATATTTTTTTTAACACAAGGTGTTAATCAATATACATCTATTATTATTTTATCATTATTATCATTTGATAGATATTTAGCTGTTTGTCATGCAGCTAAATCAATTGCATGGCGTTCACGTTTTAATCCAAATATACTTATTATTTCAATATGGATACTTTCATTTTTATTAATGTTACCAATTATTTTATTTACAACATTAGACGAAGCAGGAGCATCTGCTGTTCAATGTACAATTAATTTACCATTATCACAATCACGTATACCTTATTTTATATATGTTGCATATACATCATCAATAACATTTTTCTTACCACTTACTTTAATGACTTTTTTTCATATAAAAATAATTTATCGTTTAAGAAATCGACTTCCAAGACAACATTGTCGTTCACGTATATCAATGCGTGCACGACGAAAAGTAACAATATTAGTTTTAAGTGTAATTAGTGTACATTTAATATGTTGTACACCTTATTGGACATTTCAAATGTTAGCAACAAGTGGATTATTATCACAAACAAATTCTATACTTATTCCAATGTCAAGTTTAACACAATTTCTTTTATTTGTTAATTCATCAACAAATCCTATTTTATATGCATTTCTTAGTGAAGTATTTCGTACAAGTTTTAAACGAGTTTTTTATTGTTGTTCAACAATAAATAATAATAATGAAATAATACAAGAAAAATATCTTGATTAAATTAAATGTTAATTTAATTAATTAAAAAATGAATTATTTTCAAGACAAAATTAACAAAAATAATATTAATAATAATTTATGTATTTTTATTTGAACAAAACAAACTAATATAAATTTTAAAAAATATTTAAATCTTATGTTCTTTTTTTTCCTATTAAATGTAAAAGTAATTATTTATATAAAATTAATAAGAAGTAAATCCATAAACTTATTTATTTAGAAATCGAATTCTTTACGAGAGTGGAGTGATCTGTTTAGTCTTCTCAAGTAGTAAGTTTGATGGTATTCGTAAATGTTGTAAATATTCACGTGTTTGCGCCTTGCATTTTTTTTTTTCGAATATGATGTTTTGTTTTTCTTTTTCTTCGCATACGTCGATTTGTTTTTCCTATGTCGTGTATATATTTATTTAATAAATTTTGTTCTCTTTTACTGTTGATTTCTCTTCTATCGTTACCATTTTATATATCTATATATACAAGCTTGTTACTTCACGGCTGGTCTTTTAGTTCTGTTATTATTATTATTATTATGTAGTTTGTTTTGTTGAATAAAACTAAACGCATAATTTGCATAATCAAGGTTTCTTGATAACAATTTCATGGTAATAATCATAGTAATATTATTGCTGTGCCATGATAAACTTCAATGAAAATTATTGTACAAATAGATAAAATGTAATAGTACATAATGAGAAGTTGATAATTATTACAGTTCTTGTTTTTTTATGTTAAAAAAAAAATACGAACAATGAAAGTGTATAGAACTTGAAGATCAAAGTCCACATGTCATCATTGACCTACATTTCAGTCACAAGGTTTCATATATTTGATGAGTAAAAATAACTGAGATTTATTTATTATAGATAGAATCTTTTTCATTTTTTATATTCATATATACATAAATTTTATCAGCAAGAACATATATTCATAAAATAATTATTTGATAAACTTCAAACGAAAACAAGTAATTTCTATTTGATTATATTGAAAAAATGCTTCTAGACATGATTATTAAATCAAATAGAAGACACCTTAAATTATTCTAAAAATATCATAAGAAAAGATTTATATATTTTTGCACATAGGAAAATATATACATACGAAAGAAATTTTTGATGTTCGATAATTTATTATGAAATATTTCTTTTCATTAAATTTCTGTCATGTTACATTAATTAAAAACTATGTAAAATAATAATTTCTAACGATTGCTCATTCTTCACTTCAAACTAGTTTAAATCAATGCATAATGACTATTTATTATTGAATGCATGAAATGCTATGTCGATATGAATGTTAATGAATGAAATTAATTAAAATTAATTGATTTCTAATAACAGTCGATTTTTTGAATTATTGAAGTTAATAGCGAGTGTTTTTTGTTTTTTTTATGAATAATAAACTAATTAATAATTTTGTTTTTCTGTTAAATTAGATACGATAATAATCGAAATTAGAAAATGACAAAACAAGTAAAATGTTTTGCTTGCATATTCATAAATCGTTGTATTTAGACGATTTTTTTTCTATTTAAAATTTAGTTAATTTACATAAAGATTGTAACATTTGAGATATATGTTTTATAATTCATAACATAATTTGATATTCTTTTTTCGTTTATCATCAATTTTCAATTAACTAATAGATAAAATTTTTTTGTATCGAATCAAATTATTTTTTTCCCCTTATTTATGATTTTTTTCACCATTTTGTGAAAAAAACAAAATTTTATAATCTTTTCTCTTATCTATAATAAACAATTTTGTTTGACTTATTTTTGTTACATATCAATTGACGTCTTATTAAGATAATCATTGATAACCTTGTATACAATATATTCAACCATATTATTAAATCAGTAAACAAAACGAAAATAATAATACAAGCTATTTACACTCTGTCTTTTTTTTTTTTTTTGTTATTTCATACTAATCAAAAACAAAAAAACAAAAATTGGATGTTATTTAAAACAAACATTTTTCATTTTACAATTTTTTCATAATAAAATTATATAATTCATTTTATATTCATTTTCAAAAACCGCAAATATATAAATCAATACAAATTTAAATCAGATTATTATTATATTTCAATTCAATTAAAAATAATATTATAATCTAAAAAAATTTTTACATCATCTAACTCAAATATTTCACAATTCATTTGAAATATACAAAAAGAACAAATTATTTGATAGAAATAAAATTTTGAATTGTATAGAGAAAAAAATATACCTAGATTTCATAGAGATTTACCTTTTTTTTTTTCTTTCTTTTTTCATACATCAAAAAAGCTATGTCAACAATAGATGTAATGTCCTTGAGCGAAATAACCGTTCTATATGCATGCACACATTTATATTGTCGACGCCCAAAATTAAGTATACCTGTATAATCGAGTATTTTACCTGTATATGCACATGTATGTATGTATGACATTTGTCAAAAAATTAATTGCTTTCATACATACATTAAAAGAAAAGGAGACCAGGCAAAACGGGAAAATGTTGTTTTTGCGTACCCATCTGGATATTTTATTGTGGGCAAAATATGTTGCCATAGGTTTTTCTTCCCATATAAAAAGTCTGCTTGAAAACCTTGAGAAAGATACTAGATATATATATAGATACATATATAACGCCAATATATCTTTTTATATATAAAACTAAAAGAGCTTGTTAAAAAAAAATACAATTGAATGTAAGCTATACGCTCCGCAGGTCAAAGCAAATAGTATTTATATGTACAACCATCGTTACAGTTGTTCTCAAGGAGAAAAGAAAAAAAAAGAAATCTATTGAGAAAAAAAAACATCGAGAGTAGGGGGTTTGTTTCCTATTAATATTAATCAAAACTTCGTTCGATTTTTCTAGTTATATAAGTCGTTTATTTTTTTAAGAAAAAATATTTTTTTAGAAAATATAACTAAAAATATTGAATAAAATTGCAAAACAAAAAAAATAAAATATTAAAATAATTTTCTCTTTCAAACACTATTATAATATTATTTTATCTTACAACAACAAAAAACAAAACAACAATAAAACTAACAGTAGATCATTCAAAGTATAAACACATTATACAAAATTATGAGAGACAAAAATAGAGATTACATTGATTATTGATTCATGAAGAAATCATCGAGATCACCATTGGTTAGCATAGTTGATAATGGTTCAAGAAAATTTCCTACTTGTTCAGCAGTTAATGAATTAATAAAAGCATCATCAAAATCCAATTCAGAAATTTTATCATTTATTATTGTTTGATTTTGTTGAGAAGATATTGGTAGATTGTCTAATGTAAAATAAGATGTTAAGTCGATATCTGATGTTGTAAATGAATTTTGTGGATTCATGTTAGAACACATTTGTTCATGAGTAAAAAGTCGTGTTTCTAAATGAAGTTTTTGATGTTGAAGTGTTTGAACATTTTGTGATAATTTTGTTTCTTGTTTTTCTAATTCATTTATTTGATCCAATAATTGTTGTTCAATATTTAATCGACTTATACGTACACGTTCAGCAGCAGCACGATTACGTGCACGTCTTACATTTCGTTTTTGTTCTTCTTCTGCAGTTAATATTTCATATTTTGAACGACGACCAGTAGCTAAAGTTGGTGCTGGTCGTTTACGTGGTTTGACTCTAATAGGACCAAATGAAATAGTTTCGTTGTCGTCGCATGATGTACGGCTATGTTCCGATGAACAAATTGGATATTGTTCAATTTTAGCAATTGTAGGAGTTAGTGTGGGATAACCATCCCCTGGTAAACCTTTGCTCATACACATGAGAAGTTGATCGATTTGTAATAAGTTTGATCGCATGTACTAATATCGTTGCTTGAGTCTTCAACATTACGGCTGTTTTATATACGACTTTTTTGCGTTCTATCGCCCCCTCGCCTACATACGAAAAAAAAACGCAAAGGAAAGTTATATCATAATGAAAGAAAAAAAAAACCAGTGACGTCTTCATGACACATTTTTTTGCTTTCTGTTTTCACGTCATAGGTTTGACGTTGATGTAGCTATTCTCTAGCGAGAACGAAAGAACGAGTCATTTATTATTTTTTTTCTTGTCGATTCGCATTGAGAGAAAAAAACCCATATACCTCGTGACTCAGAAAAAAGAAACGATAGCACAGAATCGAGAGCGTTGGTTTGTTTACCAAGCGCCCACGAACTATCTGGAAGTATATAAAATAAAGATAAACGTAGTTGTGAGTTGGTTACTGGAACTTTTAGATTTTAAGATTTATTACAATATATTGTATAGTTGTAATTTCATTGCAATGGAAAATATATTTCAGAAATATATAGATGGCTATGATCATATTATTTTTATGTTAGCATACGTAGAAGATAATACAAAAGTTCTTCATTAGTTTTTCTTTCTAGTATAGTATGATAATAATTTATCATAGACACTTGATAGTTTATTTGTTAGAGAGAGCAAAGTCTCTACTACACATTTGTATAGAATTTTTTTTTCTTTCAAAATACTTACTGAAAATTGAAAAAATTTAAGAACATGAGTTGAATGAAAAAAGTACCTTGAAACTTTACATATAATCAATGATGAGAAATGTATTTGATCGATTTATTCTATATTTAATTTTCGATATTTCTAGGCACGTTATGTGTAAGTGTAATCAATGTGACACAAGCTTTCTAGTAAGATCAAAATATTTGAGTTACATAATTACAGGTTCTATAGGAAATAATTTTAGTAAAAATTTAATTTTCTCTCTACATCATGGTTGAGTGATTATCCAAACAGTTAAGGAATCGATGTTTTGTCGTTTAAACTGTGATATGTATTGTTCAAAAAAATACATTTATCACATCTAAACGCCGTATCGAAGCTGATAATAGCAAGAAAATTACCTCGATAAACGGTAAAATGTTATTTGATGTATCTCAACACCAAATATATGAATTAACATTTTTTCGCCGCTTATCGAGGTCATTTTTCTGCTATTATCGACTTCGATGCAGCATTTAGGTATGGTAAATAATTTTTTTGGACAATACATTACAGTTTAAACAAAAAAAAACCAGTTCCTTAACTGTCTGAGTACGTTGTTTGACATGTATATGTGTCAATCTCAGTCTTTTCAGCCATAGAACGACCTTGGACAAGTCACTAACCACTATTTTTCTCGGATCATCCGTCCGATAGCATACTGACTATTTTATAACATACATCTGCTCTTGTAGGTAATTAATGCGTATGAAAAGCTTAAGCAATTAAGCGCAAGAATTTGGCATTAGGCTGGCCTTTTGTCCAGAATTACAGTTAGTCATAGTTGTAGAGAGAATATCGGGCTATTGAGTCTCTCGTTAGGCAGCATCTAATAATGCAAGGCAGCTCAAAAGCAGAGGTATTCTTTCTTCTTCTTCTCTATAATGTCTAATATTCTGTTTTATTTAAAATGCTTGGGGGTTTTGATTACTGAAAAAAATATTCATTTTTCATATCATTTATAAGTTGATTTTATACGATCCCTTATTTTATATATTAGTACAGCTTGAAAAATCTTTTATTGAGAAATGAGCTTTATCAATTATACTTACTGTAAATCTAAAATAGAAATAATTCATTCTTGTTTTAAACAAGAAAAGTTGTGATACACTAATGTACTATTGATTTTCTAAATACGAATCGATTATACTTGAATAGAAAATTAGAAGCATGAAAATGAATTACGATGTACGATTTATCATTGATAGATTAATTGGTATAATACGAAATAAAATTCAATACCAATTATTATTGTAGAACAATTGATTATCTAAAATATCAATTCCATATATATATATATATAAATATAGACCATTTCGAAGCTAAAGATAAATACAACACGTTTTACAGATTAATCAAACCATAATATAAATGATAATAGATATTCATGATATATATTCAATCCAAAACGTTTTATGATTATATAGATATTTATCATCATATCAGCATAGTATATGACAATAGATTTTTTGAAGTAAATTGAATATTTTCTCCGTAAAATATTCAATACCAATGAGACAATTGAATTTACCTGAAAAATGATATATTGACGATTTTTCTAAATCATATCTTCATGGAACCAATTTTTTCTTCGGATTCTTCATTTATAGGATTACCAATCATACGAAATATTATTTAATAACAAATTCACATTTAGTAAACCTGTTTGAATTTTTGGATGTTTAGATTATATACAGATTTTTACAGCCTTTCGTCAGACTTATTTTCCTTGAATGAATGTATATTATGTTTGCTGTTTGTCATGACAGAAGAAAAACATGCGTCATAATCATTCATAGCTCTTAAACATACATTATTCATGAAATGACATCATTGATGATCAATCAAAAATAAGTATTGAATATAGATGTCGTTGTTTAAATATGACTCAATTGAAAAAAATACTGAATATATTATTCATCTGATGACAAATAATCATATAATGTGTCATTATTGGAAATTTATTGAAAGAAATAAAAAAAAAAGTAACAATTGTTTAAAATTATTACGAAAAAATCATTTCGTATTTTAGTTTTAAATAAAATTGGTTATATCTGTTTAGTTTGTTAGTCAAAAATATTCAAATAAATCAATTATTAGTATCTTTTCCTGCTATATAATCAAGAATAAAATAAACTCCAATATGCAATACAGGTAAAGATAAATATTTTCAAATAGAAAGAAATTAGAGTTTGTAGGATTCAAAATTTTATAATGTAATTAATAAGATCAATATTTTTGCTATTCTAAATATTGCTTACTTATATTTGAATTTTCTATACTCTAAACATAACAATATAACTATAATATTTAGATAATTATAGAGTTCTGAAGTCAGTAATTGGAACTTATGGAATTCACTAACGAAGTAAGTACTCGAGATATTCATCTCCGTATTAATTCATTTATATATAATTCAATAGATTATATTCAGGTAAGAAAAAATCTCAAAGGTTTTAATTCTATGGCCGTTGTACTGAAAGTTTGATGATTATCTTAACTTTAATCAAAAATTGAATTGAAGACTTCTGAATATTTTCTCGTACAGAAAATTTTAAAAAAACTAAGCTGCTATATATTCAAATAATGTTCTTATTGTGTGCAGTCACATAACTTTGTGTTTTGTTTTTTGCTACAATGCAAGACAAACTGCTGAGGAGATCAGACACTGTAATGAGATAATTATTATATCGATTATACAACATGTTTATTCGATTTTGTAATACTGTTGTTCGTTTATTTTTTTCTGCTTCGATGCATCATAAGACCATTGATGTGTAATATTCTATATATGTTTTTCTTCTTCTTTCGTATAATTGATCAAACACCATTTATGTGGGTAGTTTTGATAAATACAAGAATTTATTCTATTATGTTAACCTTCAATTAGGATGTGGATATGTCTTCTTTTCAGTTCTACACCCACTCATAACATTGCAGAACACAACAAGCAAATCTACTTGAGAATTGAATGTGTCGAGAAAGACATATTCATTTTTGTTAAAACTTTCTGAATTATTGTATTTATTTATAAGTAAATTTTTAGATTGAAAGCTTTTTTTTTTGCAAAACTGATTGTCTGTCAATAAGAATTTTAGTAAAATCATCATAAGTTTTCACCAGTATGCAATCGAACCGATACCCTTTAAGGATTTATCTTATTTAAATATAATTTATTGAATGATCCATGATATATATTTGTTCGGATTACTGGTAATAGCGCTTACGACTTTCGGTTTCAGTTATATACAATTCACATTCACGAAAAATTCAATGTAATAGCCTGTAATACAAAAATAACTAGATTTATAGAAAGTACATCAATGCGTTAAAACACATTTATAATCGTCTGATGAATGATAATAAGTGAATATTTTAAATCTTATCCTAATGTCAGAAGGCATCGAGTGATATTTGCTCAAAGCATATATTTATGTTGGAATGAGAGTCATTAATCTGAAGTAGATAGGTTTTAACTAGAGTAGTTTCAAGTTTTTTTATTCTAAAATAAGAACATCAAATCTGCTGGTTTATATGAGTGGATATGAAAGATATACTATTATTCTCGTTAAGATCTGTCTCTATGTAAAGTTTCAAATTGAAATTTGAAAATCAATTTTTCTCCTACCACGGTATTTATTTAAAAGTGCAATATCCTCATAGCAATAAACTAAGGTCACGAGCTCTTTTCAGAGTACATCATAGCTCGTTTAGATCTACATAATGCACATAGTCTCGATTTATCAGCTGGAAGACTTTCCTCATGAGACTATTTTATATGCACATTCATTGGAAGCTAGTTAGATCCTAAATGTGTTTATTTACAACAAAACAATCATATGATTCGGACTGGACAAAAATTGTCCGTTCTTATGAGTACGACGGTAAACATGTGACATGGAAACAACCACAAGGCATGTCTTATACAACATATAGTTGTCAACATGATTACAATGCTTCATAATATGGTGTGGTATTGAGAAAAATGTATTAGTACTCAACGTACTATTTTATTCTAGTCAATCAGAAAATATCTCATATGTAATCAATCATATGAAGAAAAAGAAGTTTCTTAGGTCAAAAATATTAATCCTCGTCGGTGTAACATAGTACACAACTTATTCATATATATATATATATAATCTATCACTGGTTGAGAAACAGCTAAATACCGATAAATTAGAACAATATCTGTCATTTTAGAATATTCAATTATATTTACATAACAAATCTGATAGATTATTCATATCAATAAAACGAGAGAAAAATCAAAAATCTAAATGATGAAGAATTTATTACT